TCATGTCTTCTTCTGACCTTTCACCTCCATGTTCCAATGTCTGACTTCCCTTTCACAATTTTAAGTAAACTCTAGACTCATCAGTCTCTCTTCCTCTTTAAGTATGGACACAGGTTAAAAATCTAAGGTGGTGGTTCAGAGTTACCGAATTAAAGTTTTGTTTTGGACGGGGCAAAGTTACCGTTGATTTCTCAAATCCCACTAAAATCCAAGTTAAGACAAAGACATTAAAGAAACGATTTGGGTTTTAGCAACAGAATCGTTTAACTTCACTTGTGGCCACAAAATGTGAAACGTATCAATTCCTGTTATTCTGAAAGGAAATGTCATGTACTCTGTTAACCCAGCCTCAAGGGCGTAGATTTGGCATGCCACCAATATCCAGCGATTATTGAATTGTCCCCACCAATAATTTGATCTCTTCGAGTAAAGAAAAACAAACCCGATAGTAAGAAAAAAAAAGATTTGTCAACGTCTCATTCACCCAGCGGTGCAGAAAGAGATAAATTACGTTCTCTACTGGAGTCCTACGTCATGTGACAAATATGGCCAATGTGATTGGCTGTGCTTTTCAGGGAGTTTTCGAAACTAACTGCACAACAGGCAGCACTATTAGTTCTCTCAGTCTCAGAGCAGAATTTCTAATTTTGATTGAAACTGTCAGAGAAAACGGCAGCATCGAGCGAGCCCGGATATTAGTTTACAGAGGCTGTTAAAATTATGTCTAAAGTTAAAATGTTGGTGACACAATAATTTCATCCTACCGGTACTGACGTATTCATAGGGTTAATTTTTGAGACAAAATATCATGAGGTAGTCATGATTTTGCAAATATTCCACCTTGTAGTGCAGTTTGCACAAATTGTTTTAAAAATGCACTCAGCCTACAAACATTACTGACGAGTCAAGATCTGCACAAAGTGACGGAAACACTGAAGCAGCTCCACATTTTATTCTTATTGTCATGTTTGTCCTATTTGTCAGGTGATAGAAGAACCAACACAAAGCTCAGAGAGCAATGGCGATGCAAGATCACAGGTGGAATTGGATATTGACTTGTTGGTTCATGACTGTATTTGAAGCACATGTGTGCATGTATTTGGAATGTCTCACTGTTATTCATCAGGTGACAGAGGCAGCTCTGCCATGTTGTCACTCGGACAGAGGTGAAGAGGCGAGTCACAGGTGACTGACTGATGATTTGGTGCTATAGGTTAACGAGAGGAGAAAGCATGTGTTTGGCTGCTTCACATAGTGGACATTGAGTTGTTGTGTGGGACATGTAGTCCATGTCTGTTGCTGTAACAGTAGCTCATGTTAAGAATAAAACATCCCAGCTCACTGATCTGATCGGGGCAGTAGTGCCTAAAATGTTGCATAATTTTGCTGAGAGATCTGTTACTTTGTGGTAATCTTAGACGAGTAGTTTTATGGACAAAACCCAGCAGGTCATTCAGTGTTCCCTTAGTGCTAATGTATCAGAGATGTTGGTGTACTATAACTGAAGTAATGTTGTTAAGTCCTTAAAGTCATATTCTTTTATTGTCATGACTGTATTTGAAGCTATTTTTATTTTTGTATGATATCTGATTTATATGGAATATGGCTGAAGTAAACTAAAGCCTGAAATACTTTAGTCATTTGCTTAATAGTAATTTAACATTATATAATTCACATCTAAAACTATGAATTGTAGTTTTAAATGGTTTAAAAGCATGTAGAATAGCATATGTAGGCAAGTATATTTCTCCTTTTTTGTTAATCAAGAAGCAAAGACGAAACAGGGCAGGGTTCGGTGGTTGAATCATCCGTCTCCACCAAAGCCAAAACCAAATCTACGCCCTTGCCCAGCCTCCACAAATGTGGTAATAGAAAGCCCAGAGATGGACTCACAGAGGTTGGCTCACAGAGGTTGGCTCACAGAGGTTGCACAAATGGTGCTTGACACAGAGCTTTCAGATTCATGGCACCCACAGAGGGGAAAAGTGAACTGCTGGGTTTTAAGAGTAATGTTATTTTTTTTTTAACATTTTGCCTTTTCAGAAAGGACATTTCCTGGTAAAAGCACAAATCACCACACACCTTTTGTGTGGTGGAGTACCCATGTTCTCCATTTCCAAAAAGCAAACAAATATTAATTTGTTGAGCTGTGTTGTGTTTGTTACGCCCTGTGTCTACTATTTCTTGCACAAGCTCATTTCGAACAAAAACAAACTGTAACAGTTGTTGAAATGTTAGTATTTGACCACTAGGCGGAGCTCTTGTAATGATAATGTAATTAACACATTTTATTTTGTATGTTTTATTTTTATGTTGAGCATGTTAACGTTTTCCTATTTGCATACCGGATTGGTGTACTGTTAATTTGATACATGGAAAATAATCGGTAAAAGTTTTCTAAGTTTAAGGTAAGGTCAGAGGTCACTTCCTGTTTTGGGAAAAAAGGTCAGAGAAGCTGCTCATGGTGAATGTCAAAGAAGAAATAACAAGTCCTAAGTTCCAAATACACCGGTTTGTCTACTTGCAGGCCAAAGTGGTATGTTTGTTTATATTTTGTGAATTTTTTATTGCAATATGTTTGCTGAAATATAATTTCCTTGTACATTTGTATTCACCAGTTCTACGGTGTACCTGTGTACGTTAAGAGAAGCACAGTAAACATCAGTAAACTCTCGTGCCTCTCGCGTATGTGTGCAAGCCGTTTGTTGCCTGCATGGTAGAACACCATGGACAAACAGGACAAAATGTGTCAAATATACAAATTATCCATCAAAAGTTGTAGCATACTCCAATTTTTCCCGTTATTTATTGCAATTCGAGTCATGAAGCCCAGTGAATAGCTTGAAATGGTACAAAGGTCAGTGGTGAACTGCCAGAGGTTTAAAAAAAAAAAAGAAGGTAAGGTTACCCAAAACTGAAAAATAATGTACACTTCAGAATTATACAAAAAGGCCTTTTCGGGGAACACAAAATGGGATAACAATTTAAAGCTGTTCTGCAGCAATGGAGGTTGATCAAGCTTTGGAAGCTGGTGCTTAGGGCTGCACGATTTTGCATGAAATGAGAATCACGATTTTTTTGCTTAGAATTGAGATCACGATTCTCTCACGATTTTCTTTTCCAGTATAAATATTTATTGCACTTATTAACTTCACATCAACTTCGTAACAGTTGAGACTGAAAATAAAAACAATAAACAAACATAAAAACAATAAATGTCTCACATTTTGTCGTTGCTGCAAAATGTTGTACTGCTTGAAATTCCGTCTCCACCGTTGCTCGACACTGCGTGTATAGAGCAGGTAGTGCAACATTTTTAAAATAGTTGCGGGACGGCGCAGTGTAGTGTTTGTCTAGGATGTTGATCAATCTCCTAAATCTCTCGTTTTGCACAGTGTTGATGGAGCCATATCTTTGGTCAGGTGATAAGTGATGGAGGTCGACGGGTATAGGGAAGCGCTGTATAAGGTTATTAATGTTTGGGTGGTTGACTGGGACGGATTTTCTCCTGTCACTTTCTTGGCCTTTACAGCTTCGTCATCTTGCACTTTATGGTGACGTTTGAGGTGGTTATACAGATTTGTAGTGTTACCTTGCGGTGCTGCTACTATGGCAAAACACAGCTTGCAAATGATATTTTTTGACTCTCATCGTCTTCTTTGAAGGCAAAAAACGTCCACATGGAGGAATGAGAACCTTTTCTTGTAAGTAATTTTACAGTGGGGTTGTCATTCTCACCGCCATCAGGAAACGTTTCCTCTGCGCTCATTGTGTTTTCTCCCCTCGGGCAGTTTTACGTGCTCTCCGTTGTTTTTTTCTGCCAGATTTCTTCTGTATCACGTGGTATAAGGCTCCACCCTTGTCATTTGTTGAGCAGGAAGCGTTAGCGCTTGTTTTCATGCAGATTATGTCCCGGATCAAAATGCGGTACAATCGTCATCTTTTTTTTTTTTTAAAATCGTTGTCGTTTGGAAATGAGATCGCACATAAGTATGAATCGAGATCGCGATTTTCTAACGATTAATCGTGCAGCCCTACTGGTGCTACTAGTTCCTACAGGTTTTCCAGCTTTTCTGGATTACTTACAAATCCCCTCTGTCTGGATAAAAGCGGTGTTGGAACACACTGTGGTACCATACGCTCGTGAGCATCAGTTGAACAGTATTGTACTGCAGAAAGTAGCGTGTTGCTACTAAAAAAACAAACAAAAAAAAGCAAATAACAATGGAAGAGACACAGACTGTCATCACACTTAAAAATCTTTCCCACACAGACTTTGCAAAGAAAGTCAACGTGTGCGTGGGTACAAGTAAAGCGACTCAGAAAATGGGACAAACTCTGACAGGAAGTGGTCTGGCAGACCCAAAGCCACAACAGCTTTTGTGATAGGCGGCTAACAGGAAACTGCATGATTTTCAATTTAAAAATAAATTAAAAAAAAAAAAAAGAAAAATTTGGGTTTTCTAAAACTTTTGACTGGTAGTTTAGATCTACATCATCACTGCACTTCCAAAACTGGCACCCAAGACTTGTCATCAGGGCAATTTCAGGGACAAGAAGTCACAGTCACCATTTCCCTTCTGTCCCTGACTTTAAGTAATAAATAAACAAATGAATGAATAGAAACATACAGTTGCAGAAAATTATGACACGAAAAGGAAGTTAACTTGTAAAATGGTAATTCTAGGGATTAAATTTCTTTCAGCAACAACTGAATATTCTGCTCATAATCAAAGATTGTAAGGGCACAGCGACATTGTGCTTTGCTTGTCTAATTACTAGTTTGCATATTTGCATCAAGCTTCAGGCCGCTCCTTTAAGCTCACTTTAAAAAAACAAAACAAACAAACAAAAACACAACTGCATCGTCTTACCAGATCCAGAGTGGTCTTTTCTAGGATGTCCACCATCTTCTCCAACTTGGTGTTTGCAGTAAAGATGAAATCATCATCCACCCAGAGTACATATTTGGTGATTACCTGAGACACTGCCAGGTTTCTACCTGCAAACCAACCCTGTATAAACAAAGAGCAATCAATAATAGAACAGCCACAGTAAAAATGTCAAAGTAGGATCCTATTTGAGGAAGCAGGTCAAACTGACTGAGATAAGCAGAACAGTTTTGGGCAGAGAGAAGTAAGCGATTATCAGGGGAGCTCTGATACCAGGATTCGCCATAGCAACAAGTAAATAGGTGGCACAAACTAAAGATAAAAGTATTAAGTTTGAGGGCATTTTTAAATTGAATAAAAAAAAAAGTAAATATGTTGCATTTGGGTCCTACAAATAAAGTAAACAAGGTGGTTAAAGTTAAGCAGAAGGGGAAGAGTTGGAGGCCAACTCAGATTGTTGGAGGCCAACTACGATTGTTGGAGGGCCAACTACGATTGTTGGAGACCAACTACGATTGTTGGAGAAAACCTGCCAGCGGCCGGCTAGCAGGTTAAGTTCACAGTCTGTTGTTCCAGTTATTGAAGTTAACTCTCTTTCTGGAACTCCCAGAGTGTCCTTCGTCTCAGGTTTAACAAACTCAGAGTTTTTCACTAACCTTGCTTCCTGGAATAGGGACCAGGTCATTACATACAGAAACAGTAACTTGTTTACCTTTCCAAATGGCATAATGTAGTGTTCAATATGAGGACCAGTCACGGGCTGAGGGTGTTCATTATCATCTGCTATCACAATAGTGACGGTGGGATAATATTCTCTTATGCTGTCGATGAGATCTTTCAGTTTGTCATAGCGCAGAAAGGTCTTGGTGGCGATGGTAACTAGAGCTGTAATATTGTACTCTAAGGGAAACAAGAACAACAAATTAAATACTCATGTGACTTTTAAACACTGTGCATCAAAAAGCTAAACTTTACATGTGTTCATAGTAACTACTCACAAACCTTTTTGGTATCCCGAGTTGTAAAGTTTCGGATTGTTTCTGTGTTCAATTTTGATGGTGAAAAATGACTGGTGATCTTTAGTTGCAAACTGAACTGCAGAATAAAACAAACACAATGATAAAAGGCCAGCTGCAGAATTTATGGGCAGTTATCGTTGTGAAAATAACCTTTGCACATGAAGCTGTAAGCTGCATTTGCCTAAGCACAGCCCTGCCCTCAATGACATGTCTTTAAAAAAAAAAAAAAAAAACCCACTGGGGAAGCCTTCACTCACCTACTTCATTGGCTTTTAAACCATGTGGTCAAGTTTAATTTCTATTGGAACTTTCTGGACAAGAATATTCCTCAAAAATTACATTGGTCGACTCCTTTGTGCGAGCAGAATCATCTGCAGCTCAACGGGACAAAGACCAAAGCCCCCGTTTCAATCCAGGGGGTTGATGTGGAGGACTACAAATACCTCGGATTACATATAAATAATAAACTGGACTGGGTTAAAAACACCACTGCACTCTACAGGAAAGGCCAAAGTTGTCTCTATTTTCTGAGGTGGCCGAATTCCTTCAACATATGTCAGACAATGCTCAAGATTTTTTATTATTTTTGTTGTGGTCAGTCCTATTTGTATATATTAGAGCTATTTCTTATACTTTATAAACATTGTAATATATCGATTTATTTAATTTAGTTCTGAGTATTCTGATCTGATTAAAGTAGTTTCTTTCTTGTCTTTACAAGTGTGACATATGCTGATGTTATCATCAACTAGGAGCTGAAAGAAACTGAATAGTACACTCACATTTTAACATTTTGCCTTCCTGAAGTACATAATGAGTCAAGAAATAGCAGTAAATGTAAAATGCACACAGCTGTCAGACTGCCACCTGTAACCTCCAGTTCACGGATATCATCTATCATTCTGTAATGGTTAATGCTTAGCTAGCATGTGTAAGCTCTTTAATCAAATACCGTCAATGCTTTAACTTGAGTTTAAATCTCCTTACATTTGTATTGTAATGGTCATTTATTTATTTAATAGATAAGAAAAAAATTGCTTGTATAAAGTTACATACCAAACTTTGCCTTCCTTTCGTCTCATTGTGGGTGGGGGGGGCACTAACTGTTTATATGCTCAAACAGGTACATTCTACATTGCACTTTTAGTATCAGTTTCATATCCACATCATAACTTTACTTGTGTCTGCTGTCTTCGGATGAAACACGGTGTTCGTATAGGTGACAAACTGCAGTTGTTTGTTCAGAGCAGAGAGAAGAGGACTCGACAGAACCATGTTCTTCTCGCCCACTCCCTGGATGGAGACCATGTCCACCTGAGCAGCAACATCAAAACTTCCAAGTGTTGCAGTCAAAGACACCTGTTACAGGATAAGCATTGGTTGCAAAAAATAATTTAAAATAATCATATTTAAAATGACGACAAAAAAAAATGTGCAAGATAATAATTGAGGCATTACCATGTGAACTGATCTTGTTTCTTCTTTAAGGGCTAAACCTGCAGAGAAACGGTGAAATTATATAAATAGAAGATTTAAACATATGAACCCATTTAAATAGCAGTTTTATTTCCTCTTTTTAACAAGAAAGTGCTCATGTAGAACACAGATGGTTAAGTTTTGTTTTGCTTTCTGTAGTTTTAAATAAAACGATCACACATGCACCAGTCTTCCTTCCTGTGATTGTTCTGCATCCTGTATTATACCATGCACAGTGTTTTCGGGCCCAGTGTAACTGACGTTTTAAAGGTAAAGGTTAGACTGGGTTTCAATGTTTTTTTGCATGTTAAATATGCCTTTACCAGGAATGATGATTGTCTTTAGGGGTCGCACCAGCACCCCCTGGGTAGGATACTGAAGAGGACTGTTGGCATCAGCTACATTAAGCACATCTGCAGGATTGTAGGACCTTTGAAAACATGACAATGATATACACACCCTACAACATAAAAACTGTGAGTTTTTACAGTTGTAGTCTGTACACTTAGAGCAGTATAATTTATTTGATCAACTCAGGCTTTAATTTAACAGGTGACATCTAAAAACCTAAATTCACGTATCCTCTTGTATATCTGAAATAAATAAAATATCTTACTTTAAAATATGATCATAGACAATTGCAGATTGTATCAAGAATGCCGTTCTGCTAAGTATATTAAAAGCCTCTTGGACGAAAAGGTCTAATCATCTAAAATCTTATAAAGCATTCCTTATTTAATCAAAAGATGCAAAACATGCTTCACCTTTCTCGAAAGTTGTTGTACTCGTCAGCTCTGTGCTGCTTTACACTTTCAGGATCAGGGTGGAACTCCAAAAATGCTTGATCAAGATTGTGAGCCCACACGTGTGGAAAGAGCAGATTTGACAACGGTAGGCGAAAGGTTTTTTCATCAGCCTTGCATACGCAGGCATTTTGAGCCAAACGACTGTTGGAAATAACAAAGAGTTAAGTAATAAGAAGAAAAACTTGAATTTAAAAGATAAGGTCGCACTTACACACCTTGCCATTTCCTCCTTTATGTGGTAGGGGATGTCCTTATAACCATTTGTGGCGTCTCCAATTTTCCCAGTGAAGAGTTTTTTAATGGGTGTAACCTGGCTTGAGCTTATGTCAACTTCTTTGCGGTTAGGTTTCCAAAAATAAAAGAGGGCGACCAGAAGAATTCCACTAAGCAAAGCAAGTCGAACACACTTCCTAGAACTGTTGTGCATCTAGAAAGAAAATTTGTATAGATATCATCAGGTTGATAAAGCAAAGCGGCTTGGGAGAGACAGACATTATGTGTTTCACACTGGAATTACTGTGTTTCAGTGGGTCATTGGAAACTTGAAATGAGCCGACACTTTATTAGTGCTCGATGGAAAACCTGTCTAGGTGCAAGGCCAAAAGCCAGACATGCCCACCGCAAACATGTGCTGAAGACTACAGTACAAAGTACTAAACCATAAAATAATTGAACTTATAGACTTATTATTTCAAAGTTAAAGTTTACCTAAGTTTATTAGGACTGTCAAACCTTATTTGATTAAGTATTATGCTGCAGATGCACAAATCAAAAATCAAACTCCAGTATAGCTTTTTAGAGCTGCTCTACTACTATACTGCTTATTTCGTCTTTCTTGTCAACAGGATGCACTCTTTTTAAAGGATGTGGGTCTGCTGTTGACACAATTTTATGTGGTCTGAACTGGAAAATCATTGGTTGTGTAACCACAATCAACAGTTTGTCGGTATCATAGTTTCTGTGGGATTTAATAAACAAAATTTACAACTACAGAACCTGTGTAGATAATCATTTGAAAGGCAGCTGGTCAAGTCTGCAGGACCATCTGCGATCATCTATAACCATCAATTAATCAATGTTGGGCTTTAATATGTATTTTTATATAACTGACTGAGCTACATAGGCTGCTTCTCCAGTGCATGCATAATCCTAACAACTGAAGTCTGAATGTAGCTGTAAATGGTTATGTTTGTGAAAAATTGTAGATCTGATTTCATTTAATGTTTCCACTTTCCAAGATATTGTCAAGAAAATACAGACTTTCTGACTTGCCAATTTAAGATGTTAAATTTGTGCTTCCAAAAGACACAGAAGGAAGTGTTATCATAATTTAAAGGAAGGAAACATTTTTATTAAGAAGGAAACACACAATGCAAAGGAATAGATCAGCCTGACTATAGTAGGGCAGTTTGATTTATTTGGTCCATATTCTTCCCTCCTAATTAGTTCTTACTTTTAGAAAACATGACAATATTAGCACAATTTTGCTGTGCTGACATTATCATTTAAAAACTAGAGCTAGGGCTACTGTGTAGTGTGCAATGTGTTTGCTCTTTCTGTCATATGGAGGGCAACTAGCATTGCATGTGGGAAATAACTATCATGTATGTACTTGCACTCAGCCACACATCACTGGCTGATAGTATTTCCTGCTGATATAGCCTGAATTACTGGATATGTCAGGTAATAAAACTAGCTTTTCATTTCAACCTGCAGCAGGAACAGGTTTTTACCACGCACTGTGATTTGTTGGAGGTTGTTGCAGTTGCCTCCTTGTATGGTACTTAACAGTGATCACTAGGGCTGGGTATCGTCACTGATTTCTAGAATCGATTCAATTCCGATTCACAAGGTCCCGAAT